CGCGGGGCCGCCGCCTCCCCTGTCCGCTGCTCGCGACCTACCGAGGGCGAGGCCGTCGCCGCGCCCGCCCCGAGGCTCCAGGGGCGACATGTGCACCGGCCCAGACGACGCAGGGGAGCCCAAGGAGGTGGGGGGCGTGGGCGCGGGGGCTCCCGGAGTGGAGGTGAGGCCCAGTTTGGGCCCCTGACCCCGCTCTGAGAAGCCCAGGGTGGCTGCTGAGGAGAGGGCAGGTTAGAACAGCAGGACCAGGCTGGGGTCAAGGACGGTGGGGGGGCAAGAGAACAGGGCAGGGGGCTCACCAGGCGCCAGGATCCGCTGTCGGGACTCAGGCAGGGGCCGGGCTGGGAGCCTCGAGTGCCCGGCCTCCTTCCGGGCTAGCTCCTGGGCCAGCAAGTCGATTTCTTCGTCCAGCCTGGGCTGGGGCGGGCCCTCCCCTGGCGAGGGTGAGGGGCCATCAGGTGGACGGGCCCCCAGGCCCGGGCCTCCCTTATCCCTCCAGGCTCCTTCCAGGCACTGGTGGCCTGGGGACCGGCTGCCAGCCTGTGGGCCCCTCTCCATCCTGGGTTGCCATGGTGACAACTGAGGGAGCTTCAAGCGAGCAGCAAAAGTTCCCAGGAAAAGTGGGGGCGGGGCAAGGGGGAGGAGGGCTAGGGGAATGTGCAGTGAGTAGGCGGGAGAAGAAAGGAATGGAGTCGCTTACCCCAGCCGCTGGCCACCGAAGAACGGTCAGAGCCTTGGGACAGCACCCCCCTCCCCTTCCAAACCCCCACCACCTTCTCTGGCCAACAGATGTGAGAGGCTAAAGTACATGTGAGCATCCAGGCTTCCCCCCAGGACCAGGAGGAAGAGGGGACAGCTGTCAGGGGTGGGGCTGGTGCTGGGCCTCCGCTTTACCCACTGCAGGCTCCACAGTCCAGACAGAAGCTCCCTGGTAGACACCCACACACAACGCCAAAACAGCCCAGACAGAGGCTACCTGTCACTACACCCTGCCTGCCACCTCCAGCACCCCCTCCTCACCACCCCTCCCAGGAAGCCCCTGCTGACACCCCCACGCGCACCTCTCTGTAAAGCCCCCATGACACCTGAGGTCACTCAGCCACTGGCCATCCCAACAGACTCTGGGCCTGGGTTGGCAGGTGGGGCACCCCCAGTGCCCAGCAAAGGGCTGGAGCTCACACACATTTGTTACCAAGTGGCAGGATGAGTGCACAAAGGAGAGAGAGCAGAGTGTCCTGGGGTGGGGAAGTGGGGCTTAAAGGGGTTTTTGGAGGAGCCTGCGGGGCCCAGGCTGGGGAACTCTGACCCCTCCTCTTCCATGGTCACCTCAGCATTTCACATGGGACAGCCCTTGCACTAGGAGGGGCTAAGCACCCCAGGCCTCAGCCCAGCTCCAGGCTCTGGACTGGCACCACCTGGAAAGGATCAAGAGGCTACTTGGAGAGTGGCATGAGCCCCCCCATAGAACTCAGAGAATCTGGTGGCCACTGTCCCAGGACTGGGGGCTGAGGCTGGAGGCTTCTTAGGGGAAGAGGCAAACATATCAGGGTGGGGAAGGGAGAGAGGAAGGACGTCCCACTGCTGACTTCCCTGTCATCTCCGTTCTCCCATACCCAGAGGCCGGCGTATCCTGGGCACGCAGAGCCCTTGCCCATCCTCCTGGAAGGGCTGAAGGCAGGGCCCACAGGCATGCGCGCCCGGGGGACACCTCGCCCGCCTCCTCAGGGCACAGTCCAGGCTCCCAGGACAGGCTGCTGCATCTGGGAAGGAAACAGAAGGCAGGGCTAGGTCACAGCCTGCTCCGCTTGGCCCCTGCACAGCAACAGCACGGCCCCAGCCCCCCTCCCGGCAGAGCTGGCCATGCCTGGCTCCGGCCATTGTTCTGAGGAGCAGGCCTTTCCTCCCTACAGCCAGGGCTTGGAACCAGGAAGCAAACAGTCCCAAGACTTATCGGAACTACCCTGCCCCACCCACTCCCCCCGAGTCCGCTTTCCAGGCCTGATCCAGCCCTGCACACAAAACTGACCCTCAGTGTCCCAGCTGCCCTGAGCTCTCCTGGGTGGGGCCGTGCAGCCTGCCTCAGAGGTCCAGATTGGGAGTCCCAGAGGGAAGGGCCCAGGTCTGTCTGTCTCTGGCTCAGGAGCAGCAAAGGTTGCTAGCCAGCCACCTCTCCTACACACATCAAGGCTCCCCCCAAAGCCCCAGCACGCCATCCTACAGCCCCAGAGAGCGGAACCAGGAAGACAGTGCGGAATGAGTGCCCGGCCTGGAAGATGGCTGCTGCCCCCGTCTCGCTGCTGGCTTGTCTCCAGGGCACAGAGAAACTGCCGAGGTTGGGGGGACACAGGATGGAGTTGGCTGGCCTCACTTGCTTCAGATAGAGCCCAGGCTGGGGTCACTCCCGCAACCACACCACCAGGGGACAGCAGACATGGGCCAGGTGGCACCCCATGGCTTTGGGAGGCCTGGCTGGGCAGTGCTGGGGACTCCAGGCCAGGCCCTAGTTTCTAACCACACTTCATCTGCCTGATTTGGGGCCCAGACGACAGAGTCCTGCTTATACACGTGGTCAGCTGGTCCCACCCTGGTGCTAGAGGTTGAGGGGCAGTGGCCCTCTCTGCCTTGCTTTCCCCTCTGGGATGGAGGAGTTGCCGCAAAGGCATGTCCCAAGGCCTGAAACCCTGGCCTCAGTCACAGTGAGCCAGCAGAGCCAGCGGGATACCCACAGGACCACAGACCCTGCCTGGGGATCCTGGGGTGGGATGTCTCTGGCCAACCGGGACCCTCCCTCTCAGCACAGCCACCCAACCCCCACTGCAGTCAGGGCCACTGGGGCCCAGGGTGATGGCGTGGGACCTGTCCTTCTCCACACCTTATCTGGCCTGGCTTGGTTTCCTTGGTAACCTGACACTCAGTGTCTCCAGGCTGTGGGCATCCCGCGAGGAAGTTCCAGCAGCCCCCATGGCAGGTGGGCACAGGCTCCCATTCCAGGCATTCCTCCACTCCCCACAGCTTGGATCAGCAGCCTCCAGAATCAGTGGGCTGGGCCTGGGGTTTGGGCTAGTTAAACATTAAGCCTGTGCTGTCCAGCAGGTCTGTCTGAACCCCACCCACCAGCTGGGCACCTGGGGACCCAAGCAGTCCCTGCCCCTGGTGCTAATAACCCAGAGTCCACCAGGTCAAGGATAGTGGCCTGAAGTATAAAGCTGGCCCTGAGGTCTGGGTTCCAGCAGACTCCCCAGCCTCCAACCCCCCAGTCCAGGAGGATGTAGTTGCTGTTTAGTCTCGGGGAGGAAGGCCTCCTCTCTGGCCCTGGGGTGCGGAAGAGGGCCCCAGGAACAAGGGCTGCTGGAGAATGGCTGGCACTCCCCCCATATCTGGGCTACCTGAGGGCCTCTCCTAGGCACTGAGCACTGGGGTGGGAGGGCCATGCCAGATCTCCCAGTGAGGCGGGCATGAGGCTGCAGAGGGCCAGGAATAGTGGGAATGGCACCTGCCCATCAGGGCCTAGCATGGTAGTTGTAGGCCCGTTTCCTGAAAAGACCCTAGCCTGGAGCCATGCTCTCAGCAGGTGGCCTCTTCATTCCTGGCCTGCCATGCTCTGACCGTCTGGCCTCTTTGGGAGCCTCCCCTGGTCATGCCTACCTCCTGTCCAGGGCTGCTGTGGAAGCCCACCCTGTTCTGGCCTCTTGAGGCCACACACGCAGAACTGTATTGCCCAGGTTAACGTCCCAGCTGTGCCACATACCAGTCACTTAATTTCTCTGTGCCTCAGTTTCCTCATCTGTAAAATGGGCTAATAGCACCCCTCCTACAGGGCAGGGCTTCCAGGAAAACTGAGTGAACGAATGGCACAAAGTCTCCCAGTTCAGCCCCCTCAGGGGAAGGTGTAGTTTGGGTCTTGGATTCCTGCATCCCTTTGCTGCCTGGAGCCTCAGTGCCCATCTGTGAAGCAGGGAGAGTCTCTTAGGACCCTGGGTTCATCGCTCTCCTCTGGAGTCTGTCCAAAGCCCTTAGTACAGGAGACAGAATGGCCAGTGCCCTCCAAGGCAGGGAGTGGAAGAAGCTCTGAGGTTAGGTCAACCCTCGCTCCCCGCCACTGAAGCCAGAACAAGATCCTAAACCTGGGACAGGCCGACAAGTGCCCAGGAACCTTCAACCGGCCATGACAGGCACAGCAAGGCGCGTGGCCCACACCACCGAGGCACGAGACAGGCGGACCAGCACTGCCCCCTGCGACCCCGACCCCAGAGCACACACCGGGGCAAGGCCGGCAGCTACCCCGGGCCAGCCCCGCACCCGCGGGAGCCCCAGAGACACACAGAGACGCGCACGGGACCGACCCCAGCGGCGGGCGCGCCCGGAGCCCGAGCACGGCGGGCGCAGAGAGGTCTCCTGAGACGAGACACAGACAGGCTCACGGACCCGGAGACAAAGCCAGGAAGCGCGTGAACTCCAGGTTCGCTCCGGGAACCCCGGAGGCGCCGCATCCAGCGCAGCCCTCGGGCATCCCCGGCGCCGCGCCCTCGGGCCGGGCCTGTTTACCCTCCCGGGCGCGGGCGGCGGCGGTGTCCCGGGGCCTGCGCTCGCTCACCCGGGCGGCCGGCGGCGGCGCCTCGCAGGGCCGCGCCGAGGACGAGGCCGGAGAGCAGCAGCCGCAGCAGCCGCA